TTCATTCTTTCATACATATAGATTAATGAAAAGAGAGAATATAGAGACACCCCACAGAATATTGTTGTATACAGTCATTATTATTTAACTTTATCCATATATTTTTCCCTTTAGATCAATCTTTTCTTCCAATGCCTCTGAGTTTCCACCTAGGCTTATTTTACTTCTGCCTGAAGAACTGTTTTTAGTATTTCCTTTAAAAGGTAGGCCTGCTTGTGAGAACTTTCTGTCTTTATATCCAGAGATGCCATTATTCCCTCTTTTAATTTTGAAGACCATTTTTGACTGGGCATATAACTCTAAATTATCAGTTACTTTCTTTTAGCACTCTGAAAATATTTGTCTTTCTGGCTTTCATTATTTCTCTTGAGAAACAAGCAGTAAGTTTGATTATTGCTCTTTTAAGGGTAACATATCTTTAGCTGTTTTATAAGATTTTCTCTTTGGTTTTCATCTGCTTTGAATGTGACTAGGTCTTTTGGTTTGTTTTAAATTCTGCTTAGACTTCTTAATTTGTGACAACATTTTTCACCAGTTTTGAAAATTCTCAGCTATTAATCTTTTCAAAAATTGCCTCCATCCCATTTTCTTTCTCCTTTGCTTTAGGGACACTAACTACATTTATATTAAATCTTCTTAATGCATCCTCTATACCTCTTACCCATCCCCTACCCAATCTGTAGTTCCAAAATTTTTTCTTTCCACGTTTCCTTCTGGAGATATTCTTCTTAACATATTTTGAATTAACTCTTTAACTATGTCTTATTTGCCATAAAACCCTTCCACTGAGTTAATTTCAGCTACCATATTTTTTTTATTTGGGATTTGGTTCCTTTTTATGGCTTTCATAATTGTCAATCTTGTTTTTTGTTTTACCTCTTTACCTTTTGTTTTATTTTAGAAAACAAAACTATTTTATTAAAAAAAAAAAGTAGGCTCTGAGAACAGGTTATTCCATTCAGGCCCTCAGTGTCCTGGTGATAATTCTGTCCTTCTCAATGATGTGGACAATGACTCCCATGCCTGACAGTGCATCCTAATCCACAGCATTCAGCATGGTTTGCGGTATGGTTTCAAACGGGTGTTCTGGATCCATGTCAGGCCCCGAGAAGGACTTGCACACCCCATACATTTATTTGGAGCAGGCACCAAATAAGGTCTAGAGAGCAAATGAGGGGCTTAAGGGTCTTCAGGTCCAACCCAGTGATGACTGGCTCTGTGTAGTAGAGGACAAACCATTTCTCATACAAGAGGTTGGCCACCATGCTCATTAGGGTATAAGGCTTGATCTGCCGACCTTCTTTCAGCTCATACAGGTTCAGCTGGAACTTGTGCTGGGCAACAGTCTGGACATCGGTGGTGAGCCCAGCCAGGCCTATGTACAGCCAATCACCCATGGGAAAGATCTTCTGGAAGTCTGTGGTCACCACCTTGGACTGGCTCCCAAAGCGCCTGTTGGCAGCAATGGTCACACAGTTCTTCCCATTCATGGCCATGATGACACCTCCATTATAGGACATAGTAGACATGATTGCAGTGTACTGGGACCTCCAATCGCCACAATTCCAGTCAACTTGCTAAGGCCTTCACTGCCTATTTTACCTCTTTGAATGTATTCAACAAACTACTGAGCAATTTGCTGTCAAGTAAAAATTTAAGAGTTGACAACACAGAAGCAGTCAGTGAGTTCTAGTCCCACTTAGGATATAGAAAGACATAAGCACTGCTCCTATAAACTGTTTTGCTTTGTTCAGAGTACAGGAGGAAGAGTAGCAGCCAAAAAAGTAAGAGGAAAAAAACCTGAAATGTTAACAAAAGCTTAAAGACCAAGTGTGGGCTAATATGACAATTTAGAATCTCTGGGGGCCATGGATACAAGGCGTCTGCCCCATTTGCCAGCACTTTTCCATAGGCCTCCCTGGGTGAAAGAAAGACTGCGGGCAAATCAGGAGAATTGAAAGAGCCTCCTTTTGGTGAGATGAGCAGATGACAACCAGCTACCACTGGGAGAGAGGCATGAAACCCATGTCCACCTTCCATACAAAGAAAAAGCCATCTGCCACTAGAGGAGGGCTACAAAACATTCCTGTCCCCTAGTCCCAAGAAAAGGTTGACTGTGGTAGAGGAGGAGTTGAAGCAAAAGCCATCAGATGCTGCAGGAAGGCAGGAAACACACCTGTCCCCAGGATCCTTCACTGATACAAAGCAGAGGTCTGCTACCAGTGAGAGAGGGACAGAAAACTCACTCCCATTTAAGACCTCACCCCATTACAATGCAGAGTCTAATTGCCATGGGGAGAGGGAGGCCCACCCTAAAACTCAAGAGCCCAGAACTTGCATGAGACTGCCTGCCCCAACTATAAGCCTTGCACAAAGAAACCAGCAACAGAACTCTACAGCAGAGGGAGGGACAGGACCATGGAGAGAGATCCCATTTGTTGCACAGGTATGCACAGTCTGCTGAAAGCTGAAGGTGAACTAGGAACACTGAGAAAAACTCTCTGGCATTTCAGGCCACACACCAAACACAAAGTAGCAGCAGTCCACCACTGGAGGAATTTGAAACCTATAATATGCTGAAGGTAATGATATTAACAATAAAACCCAAACCCAGATGAACTACTGGTAGGAGATATTCAGTTTGCTCCATACTAATAGCCTGATAGAAAGGTTTGCCCATTTGCAGGTATGAATACTATTTTATCCCAGTTTCTACTGTTCTTTTCCATGCAATGTCTGGCATTAATCAAAAATTGTAAGACAAATTAAAAATCAAGAAGAAAATGACAATAATATTGTCAAGAGATAAAGTAGTCAACAGAACTAGATCCAGAGATGGCCCAGATACTGATACTACCCAACAGGAACTTCAAAATAACTGTGAATAAAATACTAAAGGATCTGGCGCACCTGGGTGGCTCAGTTGGTTGAGCAGCCAGCTCTTGGTTTTGGCTCAGATTATGATCTCAGGGTCCTGGGATCAAGCCCTATGTCAGGCTTCACGCTCAGTGGGGAGTCTGCTTGAGGATTCTCTCTCTCCCTCCCACTTGCACTTGTGCTCTTTCTCTCTCTCAAATAAATAAATCTTTAAAAACAAACAAAATACTGGGGTGCCTGGGTGGCTCAGTCAGTTGAGCAACTGCCTCTTGACTTCAGCTCAGGTCATGATCTCAGAGTTGTGAAACTGAGCCCCATGTTGGGCTTTGTACTCAGCAGGGAGTCTGCTTGAGATTCTTTCCCTCTCCCTCTGCCCCTCCCCTTGTTCATTCTCTCTCTCTCTCTCTCTCAAATAAATAAAATCTTAAAAAAAAAAAAAAAAAGGAATGATCTAAACTGAAATTCAAAGAGAAAGTCAGAGTAAAATATAACAGAAGAGTGCATCCAATAGCTGTGGGACAGTATCACATCACCTAACAAATCGAATTGGAATCCCAGAAGGAGATGAGAGAGAAGAGGGCAGAAGTATATTTGATAGTAGAATGGCTGAGAATTTTCCAAAATTAATAAAAGACAACAAAAAGATCCAAGAGGCTCAGAGAATCCCAAGGAGAATACAAAGAAAAATATACCTACACACATCATAATAAAACTGCTGAAAATCGGGCGCCTGGGTGGCTCAGTTGGTTAAGCGACTGCCTTCAGCTCAGGTCATGATCCTGGAGTCCTGGATCGAGTCCCGCATCGGGCTCCCTGCTCGGCAGGGAGTCTGCTTCTCCCTCTGACCCTCCTCCCTCTCATGCTCTCTGTCTCTCATTCTCTCTGTCTCAAATAAATAAATAAAATTAAAAAAAAAAACAAAACTGCTGAAAATCAAAAATTAAGAGGAAATCTCAAAGGTAGCCAAAAAACAACAAAAACATTACATGTATTAGAACAAATACAAGAATTATAGCAGACCTCTCAGAAACTCATAAGTTTTAAAAATGCATTTAAAAATCAAATATGGCTTGGGACATCTGGGTGGCTCAGTCAGTTAAGCATCCAACTCTTGATTTTTGGCTCAGGTCATGATCTCGGGGTTGTGAGATCATGCCTTGCATTGGGCTCCGTGCTGAGCATGGAGCCTGCTTAGGATTCTCTCTCTCTCCCTCCTCCTCTGCCCCTCCCCCCACTTGCTCTCTGTCTCTCTCTCTCTTTCAAAACAAAACAAAGCAAAAAACAAAAACAAATATGGCACTGCAATTTCCTTACTTTCTTTATTTCAAAGTGTCAAAAAGCTAAAGATGATCTAATGCACACACATATGCTATGTGTCTCAGAATTTAAAACTAGGCAAAGAATTTTTCAATATGACTAAAAAATGAAGTATTTATACACTTTAGTGTAACGCTTAATACTTATTTTTGAAATCTATTGCTGATGCTACTTCTAAAGGCAATGACTCAACCAGAAAAATAGTCAAGGTTGTTTTTTCTCTTTTAAAGGGCTTATTAGCAATCATATCCAAAAGCAATGGTTTTTAGAAATATGTAACATTGAAAGGTGATCAAAGAGTCACTACTTATTCAAATACGCCACTTTGTAACTCTGCACATATAAACTGGTTTTATCTGCATTAGTGAAAGATTGCTTTCAATGGCCCTCAACTCTATGCTTCAAATCAAGACAGTGCTATTAGTATGAGCAGCATGAAGAGTGACCGTGGAATAAACCCCAGCACATTTTAAAGGGATCACAGCAGACTAGAAAAACTGTAACAGTTTGCGGATACGTTACATATCCAAAGATGAGCCTTCTTGCTCACTCTGCATATACGGTAAACATCTAAAAAAATTAAAAACACTTTCTTGTCTCATTACAGAGCATTTTATAGCATACAAAGGGATTAAAATTCTTGTACTATTTAACCTAACCCTTATTTCTCATACTCTCAACATTTAAAACAAAGCCTATTTTCACCCAGAGAGCAAGAAGGAATTAACAAATGAAATACCTAACACTAAAAACCTGAGGAAAAAAAGCTATGCCCAATTCTGAAATGCAGCTTTTTTAAAAAAAAGTTGACATAAACATTCCAAAATAGAATTTGCTTTCTGATAGTGAAATATCTGACTTCATTTCCATCGTATCACGTTTATCTGTTTAAATAATTTAGAAAAAAATAAGCATCTTAACCTAACTGCTTTCTGCATCAGACTCTCATCTTCACTCATGCCCTCAACATGAACCATTCAACAGTCTTATAGTGAGCATCCCCTCAGGTCCTTCCCTAGCTATTTTCTGGGCCTTCAGTTTTTTTTACCTCTCCTTTCTCTCCCCTCCAAAAATCTCCATATAACCCAAGAGAATCTTCATTTTAAAAAAAATCACAACTTAAATGTATTGTGATAATGCTATGTTTGATTTAAAGTAGTAATAAATTATAAATTGCCAAATAACTTAATGTAATTCACAATGCAAATCCCTGGTAGAAAAAGAATCCATCTTGCCCTGAATATAATACAGCAGTCCAGTGATTTCAAATTACTTATGAAATAAAGGCAAAAATAAGGTGCAAAATATATTTATAAAAGTTAAGTAAGAAATCAGTTACCACAAATCTTTTTACAAAGATAAATGTAATGTGCCTTCCTGCTTCTAAAAATTGCTAGGGAAGTTTATAATTAGTGGTTTCAAAAATGACTTTAAGGGACCTAGAGATTGAATCACATATTATTTGTAATGTGTGACATATTAAATATATATGTAACAGTAATACTGCAATGGCGAATTTAAATTAATCTTCGGACCGGCTACTTTTGGCAAGTGTATTTCTTTTTCCAAAGTCTTTGCCATAACTGATTAATTTTTAAATGTTAGTCTTCAAAAACTTTGCTACTTAAGTACTACATTAATAAGGAGATACCAGGAGTCTCAAACAGGAATAATATGCCTACAAAATAAAACAAAGATTGTTCTTGCATCTTTTGTTATTATAACAAACACACTTTAAAATAGATGACATTGCTAGGCCTAGAAATTAAAAATACCCAAACCCTTAAAAAAAGGATGGAAAGGAAAGAAAAATGGAAAATTCGTATTTAAAAATAAATCTGAAGTCCTTGCATTTCTTAGGGAACTTGAGTTGTCGAATCAGTTCATCCTCTTTTGGACCAAGCTGTATCTTCCACCACTCATCCATGGAATATGATGTTAATTCTCCGTTTTGTAGATTTCAGTTTGAATTTTCTTGAATGTTTGCAAAGCTGGTGCTGGACTTGAGACGTTTGGCTAGATAAATCAAAAGTATTACATTTTAACTTGAATTCTCTAAACATTATTCATTCTTTCATTCATTATTTTTATGTAAACTATAGTATTTATTAACTCTGTTTGAATCAGAATAGATTCAATCTTCTAAGAATTAAAACCTACGCCTATTTTCTTCTACCAACCTCAAAAAACATAGCTTTGCTTGAAGCCCCACATGACTTTGTTAGAAGCAGCACCAAATAAAACAGGCATAATTTATATCATCTTGAACATCATAATCTCAATTATGTAATGTAAGAGTACTTAAAAAATGGAAGTGCTATAAGGTACAATAATAAAATGATATATTTAAAAGTCTAAGTTAGAAATCCAAATCTAGATTTCTCTTAAAATAATTCTATAATGTCAAAAAACTGTCAAAAAAAGTTGAAAAAAATTTAAATGGCTTACAAAGAAAAGTGAGTTGTATTACACACACATGCACAGACACACAAATATATATGGGTGTTAAAATATGTACAATCAATTTTGATTATGATGCTAATGGAACTGAGTCATTAGGGTTAGTCAAGAAAATCATGCTATTTCACTTGGTAATGTTTGTGCTTATAGTTAAACATGAATGTTTCTCATGTTCCAGAAATGAAAAACAACTGTGGCATAGTAAAAGTATCTTACATTGGCTAACTAGGAATCTCTCTACTTTAGAGGTTTTCAACATGAGTAGAGGTTGTGATTTAGAAAGTCTGCAAAGGGACCCAGGCATCTGCTTTTCTGTTTTGATTTAAAGCTCTGCAGACAATTCTGGTATGTGCTGCTCAAGGATGAAAACCAGTCTCCGCTGGTTTTCACTCTAAGTGCAAGAGGACAACATGACTTTCTGGACCAGTGTATTGCTTCAACTAAACTAAAAGGCAACTTAACCTAAAAAACAGTCTAAGCTAGAAGTCTACTCTTAAGCTTTCTGTGGATGTGGAAGGCAAACTAAATCAAGAGAGCTTTTTTATTATTATTATGCTGTTTAAAACCATTAGAAGTAATCTAGTTTCTTACTAATTACCAAATTTATTAAACTAAACAGGTGGCAATACCAATGAGTGCATATACTTACAACTTCCTTGCTTCCTTATTCTCTGATAAATCCCTACATCCTTCAAAATTCTACCCCAGAGGATACTAAAAAAATAAAAATAAATAAAAAATACAATTCTAGGGCGCCTGGGTGGCTCAGTCGTTAAGCGTCTGCCTTCAGCTCAGGTCATGATCCCAGGGTCCTGGGATCGAGTCCCACATCGGGCTCCCTGCTCGGCAGGAAGCCTGCTTCTCCCTCTCCCACTCCCCCTGCTTGTGTTCCTGCTCGCTCTCTCTCTGTCAAATAAATAAAATCTTAAAAAAAAAAAAAAAATACAATTCTACCCAAGAGATCATCATCTAATGATGAATTCCAACATCCCTAATGCAGAGTTAGTCTTTTTTCTCTGTGGTCCAACCACACTGTATGCCTCTACTACATTTGTTGTAGTAACTGGATTATGGTCAGTGTGTTCTTTGAGGACATATATTGTGCCTTGTTCCTTGTTTTAATCCCTAATTGCTACCATAGGACTTAACGTATGGGGGCATATAAAATTGTGGCATAAAGAAAAGTAAGTAACAATGTCCATGAGGTAACAGCACAAGAACTGTTTGCTTACACCAGCATTTTCTTAAATTCATAAATCAATTCATAAACAATGCTTCCAGGAAACATTAATAGGTATTATGCAAAAGTTCTATTGTCAAGTTTTGGGAATGTAATCTTAGAGCCTTTAATTTATATTCAGGTACATTATAAAGATCATAAAAAGGAATTTCACAGGACTAGTATTTTAAGGAACACACTCTAGGAAATGCTACCATTAAATATAATGTTCTTTTATTTAACGAATATTTTTGAGCACCTACTATAGGCCTGGTACTTTCTAGATGCTGGTGATACAGTGATGAACAAGATAAACAAAATCTTTGTTCTGATAGAGCTTACAGCTGAATCAACTGTAAGAGATAAATAAGGAGAGACAAACAAATAAGGTAGAAAATAAATGAAAAAGTTAATTTAAAAAGTGATTAAGTACCATTAAAGAAAGATGATAGATATAGGAGAATTAAAAGAAGGATGTATTCTTAGGATGGGGGTCATAAAAGGTAACTTTGAGTAAGTAATCTTTGACCTAAGACCTGGATGTCAAGGAGCCAGTCAAGGAAAGTAGGGAGGGCCAGTACAAGAGCTTTGGGAAAGGGGCAGTGTGAATGAGTCTGGGTTTGAGAGGAGCAGGAAGAAGGCCAGGCTGCCTACATACAGCATCATGAACAAAGAAAGGAGAGGGTACAGTGAGTTTAGAAAGGTAGATGGGGGGCCAGGTCACACATAGCTTAGAAATAAGTTTCAATTTTATTCTAGATGCAACAGGAACACATGAGGGTTTCAAGTGGGAGAAAAGCATAGTAAGATTTGTGTTTTAAAAATTACCCTAGGGGCACCTGGATGGCTCAGTCGTTAAGTGTCTGCCTTCGGCTCAGGTCATGATCCCAGGGTCCTGGGATAGAGCCCCACACTGGGCTCCCTGATCCGCAGGAAGCCTACTTCTCCCTCTCCCACTCCCCCTGCTTGTGTTCCCTTTCTCACTGTCTCTGTCGAAATAAATAAATAAAATCTTAAAAAAAAAATTACTCTAGCCACTATATGGAGAATGGATTGTAGTGGGTCAAAAAAATGGAAGCAGGGACACCAGTTAAGGGACTCCTGCATGGGAGGATAAGAGATGGGATGGCTTAGGGAAGAGTATTATCAATGGAGATAGAGAAAAGATAATTTAAGATACATTTTTGGAAGTAGGGCTATCAGTACTCGCTGATGGAGTGAAAAGGGGTGGGGGAGAGAATATGGGAATGGGGAAATAAAAAAAGAAAATAATTAAGAAATTAAAGATAACAAGGTTTGTGGCTTGTACAAACAGACGGAGGGTAGTGATTTAGAAAACAAACATACAAAAACCCCGATCAGAAGCAGTAAATATCTTCCACAGAGTTAAATTATTTGCAAGATAAATAAGATGCTAAACTTTAAAAGTACACCAAGTCCTGAAAAACAAAGTTTCTCAATAGTGAGGTCCCTGCAGTACTTTGTTATTATTCTAGATGAGTGCTTTTAGGACTGAGTTATTACCTGTTTTACAGAATGCTAGCAATCTCTGAAAAGCTTTACTAAATACCCTCATATTAAAGACTCTCCCCTCTATTAGCTAGCTTTTCAAGGTGACAAAACATTACAAATTCAGTTCAAACTGATCTGCAAGTAACCTTTTTTTAATTAGATGTATTAGAAGTGAGGTTAAATAAACTATGAAAAAAAAGGCTAGAAAGAAATTTATAAGGGGGGTGCCTGGGTGGCTTAGCCGGTTAAGTGTCCAATTCTTGATTTTGGCTCAGGTCATGATCTCAGGGTTGTGATATGGAGCCCCATGTCAGTGCAGAGTCTGCTTGAGATTCTCTCTCCCTCTCCCTCTGACCCTCCCCCTACTCCCGTCCCAACCCCGCTAGTGCTCTCTAAAATAGGTAAAATCTTAAAAAAAAAAAAAGAAAGAAAGAAATTTATAAGGTAAAGAATCTTTATTTCATAGGTTCCTAGACTAGGAATAATATTTAAGAGGAAAAAAAAAGCCTAACTTTTTCTACAAAAGACATTCTCTATTTTAAAAATTAAAATTACTAAGGGATAAGCCCATATCTTCATTCTGATAATAAGAAACCATGACACTTAGAAGCCACTCTTCTTCAGCTAGATGGGATTTTCTAGTTCGTGCTTTTTCTGCTCTGCCCTATTTGATGGGGAATAGGTGTTCAGCACATGCTGTATGTCAAGTAATGATCTTGCAACTATGATTCCAATTTGTTCATAAATCATCTGTGTGCTCACCATAGTTTCTGCCTTTTAGATGGCTTTCTAGGTGGCTCTGCGATGGCTTTGATGGGCCTAAGAGCTGTCTACCTCTCCCTACTATGGCCATTTCAAGCCTGCAAAACCTTTATTGCTATTCTTCTGTTGCTGCCAGCCTTACTCCAAGCTTTCTCAATTAAAATATCCAGAAGATACCGTGTGTTGACTTTTGATGATAATGTATATGTTATCTATAAACTTCTTACACATCTCTTCCATTAGTAAGTGTAACTAAAATTTGAAGAAAAGAGCTGTTTTAGCTTAATACGGTTTGAGTTTTCAGAGTATACATCATTTCTAAAACAGGCCTAAGTGTTTAAAATACAGGTGTTAGCTAAATAAAGTTGTAAAAAGGAACTTACGTAGAATGAGTTTGCGTTTCTTTTGCTCCGAATGAAGAAAGCTACTAAGGTAAAAGACAACAGGTAGAAAGAGAATGAACACAGAAACAGCAATGACAGGCACTGTGTCACTGCAAGGGACCGAACAATTGAAAGTTCGACTCCAAAGTTTTCGAGTAATGTTCATCTGGAACAAAACAAATAAAATTATTTTATTTTATATTTAATTTGTCTTCAATTCATATAATTGTTTTATTAATAACATAACAGGCATCCAGAATTTAGACTAAACATACATCCCTAAAAAAATCTATTGATAGTTGAAGACAATTTCTTTTTTTTTTTTTTTTAAAGATTTTTTATTTATTTGACAGAGAGAGATACAGCGAGAGGGAACACAAGCAGCGGGAGTGGGAGAGGGAGAAGCAGGCTTCCTGCCGAGCAGGGAGCCCGATGTGGGGCTCGATCCCAGGACCCTGGGACCATGACCTGAGCCGAAGGCAGACGCTTAACGACTGAGCCACCCAGGCGCCCCTGAAGACAATTTCTTAAATTAGCTGGTTCACAGTCATTATATAAGTTTATATCCATACAGAAATTTCATATTCTAAATTCATAACACCATCCAAGGAATGTCAACCTTTCCTAGATCTCAAACAGAGAACCTGTATCATATGAATATTGTTCGACCATGCTTCATTCATTAAAAAAGACTGAAAGGGTAATTATGTGAGGTGATGGGTGTGTTAATTAACTCGACTGTGGGAACCCTTTCACAATGTGTGTGTGTATCAAATTATCACACTGTACACTTTAAATATATTACAATTTTATTTGTCAATTATACCCCAGTAAAACTGGGGGGAGGAGGCTCACAAAAACAAGCAAAAATTTTTTTCTTATGTTACATATGTAATCTCACTGAGCTTGTTGCAATATTTTTAGGATGGAAATAAAAATATCAACTAAATACAGCTTCTCTTCAAGAGATGATATCTATGAAATGTTTAATACATTACCTAAGATATTATGAAAGATTCACATGGCAAACAATTTTTAAGTACATAATATCTAATGAGTCATACAAACTTTATAAGATAATATCTTATTTAGCAGCATACATTAAAAACAGACATCTGGGGGCAGCAAAACCTCATTTTCATTGAGCTCATGGTTTCTATCAAACATGCTAAGTGATATAAGGAAACTATCAAATTTAATGTAGAAAAATGTTCTTGCCTGAATTTTGTTTGAGATTTGGTTTGCAAGTGGTGCTTTGTATGTTTACTGCTAAGTTTTGCTTATTATAAGAAGGATGTTCTAAAGCAGGTGGTCATGTTGATTTCCTGTGTAGTCCAACTTACGTCAGAGAATCAATATTCATTTTTCTTTATTTTAAAAATTATGAAATAGACTATTAGTCTTAAAATATATATGTAGTATTTATTGAGAGCCTATTGGAAGCCAGGTACTAATCCAGACATTAGAGCAGTAAAAAACCAAAAATCCCTATGGTGCACCCATTTTAAGTTTGATAATAAGTGTTTTTACCATGTCGAATATTAGTGATACACTATAGTTCACTCTGAGCTGTTATTCATATTCATCATTCTCAACCATTAGGTTTATCAATTTGGACCTTAAGCTCTCTGAGCCAATAATTCCTATTTCCTTTGAGGCCTCAAAACTCAGGCACCATAGTCCCATAAAAAGGCATGATCGCCATCTAGTGGTGTCCCATGTGAAGGCAACCTATACAATGGAGGAAAAGGCTTTTTTGTTGACCATTCAATCAATACACATTGCTAATAGGCCCACTATATGCTAGGCACTTTTCTAAATACTGAACAGTATTTAGGACAAGGACATGAGGTCCTTGTCTTCATGTAGCTTCTATTTTAGTGAGGGGTGACAGACTATAAAAAAGTAAATTAAAAGTTTCAGATGATAATAAAGAATAAAAGCAATGGGATAGGAAGTAATTAAGAAATGGTTTCAGAAACACATGATAGCAAACCAGAGACTTCTTTAATCTGGAACAAGTGCACAAGAAACTGAAATGTAAACATATAACACCAATGGCTCTGAAAAGGGCACTTATCATCAAACTTAAAAGAACAAATGTACCAAATTATCAACTCATTTATGAAGTACTTGATTAGTGTCCATTTTAGTTTGACAGACCCGGATATTCTAAAACTTTACTACTTATAACCAGTTATTTCTAGTTGAAGACAACATACACGGATTCCAATATACCTCTAAAGGGGATAATGATACTAAAGGCACAATCAAGAACACTGCAAAATACATATCATATCAGAAGTAAATTACTTAACATAATAAAAAAAAAGAAGTAAATTACTTACTGCATCTTCCACATCAATGCATAAATGTGTTCCAGATTCAGCCTTATTCTCAAGTTCATTCATTTTTTGCATTTCATTGTACAAACTACTCAGAGTTTTGTATGCTTCACGACAGTTTTTACAAACTTCTGAATAATTCCTTAACTGCAGAAGACTGTGAATATTCCCCTAAAAGGCACATGTAATACATACAATAAAACATTACATCTCTTTAACATAAGCTATTTGACCTCCTAGAGGACAGAAACAATACAGCACGTTAACGTGCTGAGCTGTGATGTTAGACAGGTTAGTAAATCACTCTGAGCTTCAGTTTTATCATCTATAATATATTGCTACCACGACTTGTATTATAGGTCTTATGTGCATTTTATAGTATGAAATGCACATAAAAGACCTGGTATGAAAAGCAAGCATACAGCAAAAACCAGGGGTGCCTGGGTGGCACAGTCAGTTAAGCATCTGACTCTTGGCTTTGGCTCAGGTCATGATTTCAGGGTCCTGGGATCAAGCCCTGTGGCAGGCTCCGCGCAGAGCCTGCTTGAGATTCTCTCTCTCCCTCTTGCCCTCCCGCTCGTGCTGTCTCTCTTTCTCTCTAAAATAATAAAATCTTTTTTTTTTTAAGATTTTATTTATTTATTTGACAGAGAGAGACACAGCGAGAGAGGGAACACAAGCAGAGGGAGTGGGAGAGGGAGAAGCAGGCCACCCCTCGAGCAGGGAGGCTGATGCGGGGCTCGATTCCAGGATCCTGGGACCATGACCCACGCCAAAGGCAGACGCCCAATGACTGAGCCACCCAGGCGCCCCTAAAATAAATAAAATCTTAAAAAGGAAGGAAGGAAGGAAGGAAGGAAGGAAGGAAGGAAGGAAGGAAGGAAGGAAGGAAGGAAAGAAGGAGGGAGGGAGGGAGGGAAGGAGGGAGGGAGGGAAGGAGGGAGGGAGGGAGGGAGGGAGGGAGGGAAAGAGGAAAGGAAGGAAGGAAGGAAGGAAGGAAGGAAGGAAGGAAGGAAGGAAGGAAGCAAGCAAGCCACCGTAACGGAGAACAATAGCTCAGACACCAAATTACTAAAGCCTAAATACCAAAAATTTCCTAAATCATCTGGTCATTTATATGTCTGCTCTTATCTATCCTACTCTCACAGAAAAATAAAACATGCCCTTGCCTGGGCTGACTTCAACACTGAAGTCTGCCTTATTGAGACAGAAGGGACTTTATTAAAGGGGAAGGAAAAGGCACCAAATTTACATCCCCACTCCACCCTCTTATCCCAAGGTTTATAATCCAGGCCTCTCTAGTCAACAAAAAGGGACTAATGCCAAAGAATTATATGACCTAACATGAAGGCAGTGGATATAAGATATTATATTACTGAATCTCAACCTTTTCCACTTCCCAGACTGACATTTGTCTTTTCAAGAACAAGTTTGCTAACCAGTCAGTTCACATTCTTGCTTTCTATTCCCCTTATTCTTTACCTTATAGCCTAAAGAAACGGGATTAACTGAATATTTGAATGAAAAAGAAAAGGAAAAATTAAAGGAATTAAACAGATGTAGCTCCCACAATGTTACCCTCACCATCTATTTGACAGAGAAACTAAGTCTCCTTAGTTCTGCCACAAGAAATAGCACATGGTCTGTTTTTCACAGAACAATGGTGCATCTAGCTAAATGTGTTCAATCAAACATTGAGCACAGAACCTTGATGGGGGAATGTAATTTAACCATTGATACGAAAATTTAAAATGCACATATCTTTTGACAGAGTAATTTCATTTCTAGGAATCTACCAGACAGGTAAAGTCATACAAATACTCCAAGTTATATGAAAAAAGACATGTTTGTAATAGTAAAATACTGAACCAAACAAAAATCTCCATCAACATAGGGCCTGACTGGCATAGCCAAAAGATAAAAAGCTTTGCAGTGTTTAAAAGGAATGAGGAAGTAGGATTCTGGGAAGAGGATGAAACAGCACGTGCCTTGCGTCCTGACTTCTTTACCGGAAGAGATTCAAGAAAAGAAAGGTAAATCCAGGCACTTGAATAGCACCTAAAATATAAAGGTGTGACACGTAGTCTTATCACAGGAAGGTTGAATTATAATGCAAGCTACAATACCAGTCCCAGAGAAACTGACCAGAACCACAGTCTCTTCGAACCTCTATCCTCTGCACCCACCCACTGTCCTCTAGAGATGCAATAGGCTAGAATGATAGCCCTACCTTTCCAGCAGATCCATCCACAAAAGTCTTTCCACAGCCGCCAAGACAGTACAGGTTTCCAGAGAAGCCATCTGCAAATACTTACTACCCCAAATGGATCTGGTCTGGAATTTAAACCCACAACCCAGCCCAGTCACTGAGCGTGGAGCCACTGCCACAGCCCATGTCACCAATTTCATTGCTACCATTGAAAGAGGACTTCAGCTGCCTCCCTTTTGACTCCCAACTTTTTAGTTGGGTTTTTCTTTCCTGTTTGTCTCTTGGCTCAAGTGGAAAAACCCTGAAGGCAGAGCATCCCCTAACGGGAACCAAAAGTACCCCCTGAAGCAATAAGGACTGCCCTGAGCCTTAAGACCCCACCCAGATTGATTCCATGACAATGATCCATTTGACCTTCAAAGACTACCTGCAGGTATCCGCCCAAAACCTTTGCCCCACGTTTTCCTTATATAAACCTGGAAGTAGTTTTGGCACTTTGGAGACAGTCTTTGAGAGGCTAGAGCCCCATCTTCCCAGTGTTGGCCTTCCTTTCTTGTTTCACCACCATTCATTTCTCTGCCTCTGGATTTTGTCAGCAGTGAGGTGGCCAAACCTGATTTGTTTGGGACCCCTCTGAGCCAGGTGAGGTGCTCCTGCACCCCTGCATCCCAGGTACACCACTATCAATTTAGCTGGCTCTGTTCCCTCCTCAAACACACACACACACACACACACACACACACTACCTACAAAACACTGGATATCCCCAGGACTCCGTCTTTGGGGCTTCTTTATTATCATTATACCTTTACTCACTCACATTCGGTCTCATGGCTTTAAATATCATCTGTACCTGATCTGATGATTCTCAAATCTCTCTCTCCAGCTCACACTTCTCCCCTGAGCTCCAGTTTCATTTATAACACTATCTGACATTTCAATTTAGATACTTAATAGCTATTTTATATTAACTTGTTCAAAACAGAATTCTTAATCCCCAATCCCTTACAACCAGTCTTTCCTGTGGCCCCATCATCCTCTCAGCTACTCAGAGCCAAAAGCCTAGGATAACCCTGGTTCTTCTTCCTTTTCTGATCAGCCTCCACCACTCTCAGGAATTACCCAATCTATCAGGAAGTCCTCTTAGATATACTTCCAAAATATAGCCTGAACTGATCTGTTTCTCCAACACTGCAGTCAGTATCCCAGTCCACACCATCTCTCTCCTGTGACAGCCTCTTAATTAGGTTCCTTCTTTCCATTCTTGCCTCGGTTCAACTGAGTTTCTCCAGGGCAGCCAGAATGCTATTTTAACATGCAACTCATATCATGTCACATTCCTGATTTAAATGGCTTCCCCTTGTGCTTAAAATTCAATCCATATTTCTTCCTTTGTTCTGCACAGCTCTACATGATTTGGCCTCTGCCTATCTCCCCATATCTCATTCACATGTGCTCACTGTGCTCTAGCCAAACAGGCCTTCTTCCTATTCCTTGCACATACCAAGCTTATTCTCTCCCCCACAGCCTTTATCCTTGCTTCTAAGGAAAACATTATTCCAGTGGCTGACTATCTCAAACTTTAGATCATCTCAAAATTCACCTGCTCGGAGGTACTCCCTGCCCACCCTATCTAAAGTAGTACACTACACTCCTTTTCCAGGACTCATGACTCTTAATTACTTCATTTCTTTGTTATTAATCTTACCCCTACTAGGATATAGTTCATAAGAACAGAAATCTTACCTGTCTTGTTTACTGCTCTATCCTCAGTGCCCAGAACACTGCCTCCGTGCACATAATCAGCACCCAACAAACATTTGTTGAAGTGAGTGCATAGTGCCTGCTTAAGGGAACTTCTGAAAGCCAAGCTACAGAAACCAAACTCTATATGGAGAAAGAGGGAGATTGCTTCCAGCTCTCCCAACCTGGTATAATCATCCTATTACATTGACCACATAAGCACATAAGAAAGTAAGATGAGGGGCGCCTGGGTGGCTCAGTCAGTTAAGCATCTGCCTTCAGCTCAGGTCATGACCTCAGGGTCCTGGGATGGAGCCCCACATTGGGCTCCCTGCTTGGTGGGGAGTCTGCTTCTCCCTCTCCCTCTGCCTCTCTCCCCATTCATGCTCTCTCTTGCTCTCACTTTCTCAAATAAAATCCTTAAAAATAAATAAATAAATAAATAAAGATGAGGCTAACGACGGACATAAAAAGAAAACAAAATAAACAAGAAAAAAAAACAAGCAAGTAAAATGATTCAAAGGGAAAACAGATTAAGAGACAGCAGAGTAAATGTCCTAATGAAAAAGAATTCATTCAGCAAATAGGAGAGAACTTTTATTTTAAGATTTTATTTATTTAGTTGACACACAGAGCGAGCACAAGCAGGGGGAGCAGCAGCGGGAGAGGGAGAAGCACACTCTCCGCTGAGCAGGGAGCCCCATGCGGGGCTTGATCCCAGGACGCTGGGACCATGACCTGAGCCGAAGGCAGACGCTTAACCTACTGAGCCACCCAGGCACCCCAGGAGAGAACTTTTAAAAATTAATTACAGCCCAAGGTATGAAATAAATGTCCATGAGCCCATATTGATATAAATAAATAAATGTGGAAGAAGTGGCAAATCTTCCTTACAGAAAGATTTCTAAATAATTTAAGTAAATGCTCACCCCTCCAGGACTTAAAGCTTAATTTCCCCACCCCCATTCCTGATACTTAGTAACTTGGTTCCAAAGAATAGAATATGCAAAGAGGAAGAAAAAGGTAACTTTCCATTAAAGAGACCTGGCAAGCACTACCCTCTCCAGGTGATCAGGATAACACCATCAGGGATAAACCATGTTGATAGCGTGTATCTCTGACAGGATGTGATGAGAAAGGTACTTCACTTCTCTAGTGTTCTTCCCCAAAACCCACGGTCCGAGTGTAACCATGAGAGAAACATTAGACAAACCCAAATTGAGGGACATTCTATAAAATATTTGACTAGTATTCCTCAAAATTATCAGTCATGAGAAACAGGGAAAGACTGAAAAATGGTCACAGACCGCAGGAGGCTAAGTGTGGTATAATGGGAAACAGATATTTGGTCTTTGTCCCTGGCTTCTGGCACATAGCTCCTAAAGCCTTTGGAATATCCAGAGTAAAAAGAGTGCCTCTGTATGCTAATGAGATGGCTGGTGGCTGGGTGTCCCTATACAGCTTCAGAATGAAGGCTGGTCGCAAGAAAGACCAAAGCATGATTAGGGGGTTGGAACTTTCAGCCCCACCTCTGACCTCTAAGGAGGGAAGAGGAGCTGGAGACGGAGTTAATCACCAGTTAACCAATCATGCCTATATAATGAAACCTTCAGGGGAGCCTGGGTAGCTCAGCTGGTTAAGCGTCCGACCCTTGGTCTCGGCTCAGATCATGATCTCAGGGTACTGGGATCAAGCCCCACGTCAGGCTCCACCCTCAGTGCAGAGTCGGCTTGAGATTCTCTCTCCCTCTCCCTCTGCCCCTTCTGCTTGTGCTCTCTAAAATAAATAAACCTTTTAAAAAAATAAACATTTTTAATAATTATTACATCACAGAGATATCTCAGTAAATTCCAAAATGTAGACAGGCTACATTTACTGGTCACAATTTCAATAAAACTTGAGATGTACTAATAAAAATAAACAAAAGAAATCATGTCACTCCTATTAAAAAATAATCTTCCAAAGAACTCTTAAGTCAAAGAACAAACCAAATTAAAATTGGAAATTTAGAAATAAACTCAATGTAATCCTTTTTTATCAGAATCTATTATTGGAAAGGCCAAAGTGATAAACTTTACAATCTGAAAATTATTTTATTGTTGAACAAGAAAAGCTGGAAATAAATTAACCTTCAATTGAAAGAACTAGAAAAAAGACAAAATTAATCAAAAGATTATAGGAGGAATTAATAAATGCAAAAGAATAAACAAACACATTAAGAAAAAAAAACCCAGGAACTAATAAATAAATAAATAAATAAAACCAAACACAGGTTTTTGGAAAGATCAATAAAATGAAAGTACATTTAACAAGCCTAAAGAAAACTCAAGGGAAGAAAGAACCCCCCAAAAAAATAGCATTTGGAATAAGAAAGGGAATGTAGCTACATATATGATAGAAATTTTAAGGTGTGACCAGTTACTTGTTATCCTGGAATGGATTCTTAAACAGAAAAAGGACATTAGTGGAAAAAGTGGTAAAATCAGAATAAAGTCTGGCATTTAGTTAACAGTTACCAATGTTGATTTCTTAGGTTTGACAAATATACCATGGTAACATAGGCTAACATCTGGGAAAACTAGGTCAGCGATATACAGCAATTCTGCATTACCTATACAACTTTTCTGTAAATCTAAAATTATTCCAAAATAAAACATTTTAAAAGAAAGTAACCAGTGAAAATCTGTAGTGGGGGAAGAAAAGATGTCATTCACAATGGCACCAAAAGCGATACAATACCTTGGAATAAACGTCGGAAATGTATAAAACCTATACAAAATTTAAATAAATCGGTAAGACTGTGCTAGAGGACATTAAAAAAATAGAGAATAATGGTGGTTACTGGGGGCTAGAGGAGGAGGACATGGGAAATCATTGCTTAATGGATACAGAGCTTGAGTCTGAAAATTTTCTGGAGATGAATGGTGGCGATAGTTGCACAACAATGCGAATGTACTTAATGTCACTGAACTGTACGCTTAAAATGGTAACATGGTAAATTTCATATTCTATTTTACCACAGTAAAAAGAGAATATACCATATTCCTAGACAGGAAAGCTCAGTATCATAAACACGTCAATTATTTCCAAATGATGAATCTAAAATGTAATGCAACTGTAATAAAATCTTAAAACGATTGAATGTTTTTTTTTACTTGCTTCTACAATTCATTTCATCAGGAAGAAAGGGTTGGAGCTATGCCTCTCATCTTACACCAAAATAAATAGAGAAAAGATGTTTAAATGCAGAAAATGAGATCATAAAATTACTAAAAAAAATCACAGGAGAAATTTTCAAAATAATTGCAAAGTGGGAAAAACCTTCTAATGTGACACCAAGTCTGCAAGCTGTTAAAATGTTTTTGATAAATCTGATAATATAAAAATTAAAATTTTCCTCATAACAAAAAGAAAAGCACAATAAAAAAAATAAACAACTAGGAAAAAATATTTGCAATTAACATCCCAGGAAAAATGTTAATTTCCCTAAAACATTCATCAGAACACTTACACCAAAGAGTAACTGGTCAAATAGACTTGTATGCAAAAATTACCATTTGGAGTTTTACAACATACATTAGTCCACTAAAATTCTAAAGTCCTGTAGTAAAGCATTTCCCAACCTTATCAGAACACTAAACCTTTTCTTATGGGCCATGTATTTACACCTTGCAGAACATTTCTTGGGAATTGCTTATCTAATAATTCTTATTATTCTCAGGGAAATTCATAATTCTGTGTCATCACATTGATTAAAGACGAAATCATACATTCTTATACTAAACATGTTTACATCTATTTGTGGGGATTACTTACTTGTTAAGCAGGTTTTAAATCTAGGATTTTATCAGAGTTCCAATCTCACCCCTCACCACACCACCAGAAAAGTTCTAATACCAATATTCAAGGGTCAGAGGTGGAGAGAACAAAAACCAAAAAGAATAGGTTTCTTTTTTTTTTTTTTTTAAGATTTTATTTTTTAAGTAATCTCTACATCCCACATGGGGCTTGAATTCACATCCCTGAGATTAAGAGTCATATGCTCTACAGACCCAGTCAGACACCCCAAGGGTAGGTTTCTTAAAGGCTACCTTTTACACAGTAATTCAGTTACCTTACTAAACAGTGCCTTTTAAAGTAAGTAAAATAGGGGCGCCTGGGTGGCTCAGTTGTTAAGCGTCTGCCTTCGACTCAGGTCATGATCCCAGGGTCCCGGGATCAAGCCCCACATCGGGCTCCCCACTCCACGGGAAGCCTGCTTCTCCCTCTCCCACTCCCCTGCTTGTGTTCCTGCTCTCGCTGTCGCTCTCTCTGTCAAATAAATAAATAAAGTCTTTAAAAAAATAATAGTAATAAAGTAGGTAAAATATAGTTAAACAAATATTGAGGCAAAGAATAAGCTGCCTGTAGACAGAATCATATACTGCATACATAATACCTTATTGCATAAGCAAAGTCAAGATAAATTACGGTCAGACAGAAGAACATTGTGTTTTATTTATTTTTTTTTTTTAAGATTTTTTATTTATTTATCTGAGAGAGAGAATGGGAGACAGAGAGCATGAGAGGGGGAGGATCAGAGGGAGAAGCAGACTCCCCGCTGAGCAGGGAGCCCGATGCGGGACTCGATCTCGGGACTCCAGGATCATGACCTGAGCCGAAGGCAGTTGCTTAACCAACTGAGCCACCCAGGCGCCCCAGAACATTGTGTTTTAAGTAAACAATCATACACCCAAATTACTGTGTTCATCCTCAATATCTCATCGGATCCTCATTATGAAATACTTGAAGGTAGGCAGGATAGATTTTACTGTTCCCACCTTACAAATAAGACAACTAAAGTTTTGATGATTTTCCTAAAGGCTAGTAATATTAAGAACTTAGCAGAAATCCAGGTCTACTTACCCTCCTACATTGTGTGTACAGATAAATATCAACAATTAATGCTAAAAAAAATTTGTTGAATTATCTATTATGCTTTTGTACAAGGCAGCATTTTAATTTCAAGTATCATAAAAAAATACCTGGAGGTTATGCTCAAAGCAGGTCAAGGTTTGATTAAACAGACTGAGGAAGTATTGTGTGCTATTTGATAATTCTTCACTTTTGTTCGTTAAACAATCTGTCAAAAAAACAGAAACGTATGTTAATGTATCTCCAGCAACAATTATAAACTGTCATTTATTTCTCAAGCAATCATCTTCTGTTTCAAACTATAGTATTTCTTTATTCAAACAAGCATTATGTGTTCCACATAAGAGAATTTTCCAAATACATGCTTACCCCTTCTAGTTCCTAAAAGATATTTTTTTACATCATAACCATTTTCACAAAAACCTTAAAATAATCACTCTCCTCTCTTTATGAAAATACACCAAATAAGATTTAAATTGATTTTTGATATGCTGCGAAGTCTTAATCATGAACTTCAGCTACCAAATGCTGACTTAATAAGGGTACTCTTAGTGCTGTTTATGCATCAGACTGTTTATCTTACATTAATTTAACCTAAATTCATATGCTTTTTGATCCTTTTTTGTATCAAATTTAGTAGTTCTGTGTCACTTCCACCTTCACTTCTACTGCACCTAACGGGGTCAGCTTTTTCAATTTGCTCTTTCAAATCTATTGAGTTGTGGGACCAAGAAACAAGCTGGTAAGAATTTTGCCTAAAATACTGATAGAGGGGCTTTAAGTAAAGTCTGGAAATAAAAAGAATTATTTTACATGTTTTTTAAAATCTAAAATAAATGATACTCCTCTGCAACTTGATACTCTTGCTTAACATTAGCTCAAGTTCATTCTTCTTGGTTTCTACGCATCTAGGATATAGGTGCAAGTGCCTGGCTTCATATCCTGAAACTTGGGGTCAGCCATTTCAATCTCACTCTTTCAGAGTCCTTGCCCTCCTTACATTCCACATACTCAAAAACATCTCTAATCCTGGACAACCTCCGGTTACTTTCTCTACTCCCAATTCTGTTTGTGGCACATTATTATAGAAAATTCTAAGGTTATAATTAAGGGACTCAATTCCAATGCTAATCTCAGGGCCACAAAACAATCCTTGTAGACACCCTACCAATTATTCCACAAGGAACATTCCAAATATTTTCTATTCTCTAGTACCTAGTCCACCCTACTCTTGTCCTTAATTTCTTTTTTTTTTTTTTAAGATTTTATTTATTTATTCATGAGAGACAGAGAGAGAGAGGCAGAGGGAGAAGCAGGCTCCCAAGGAGCAGGGAGCCCGATGTGGGACTCGATCCCAGGACCCCGGGATCATGACCTGAGCCGAAGGCAGACGCTTAACCATCTGAGCCACCCAGGTGCCCTTCTTGTCCTTAATTTCAACTGGCGGCTGTATATTATACCCACTCAGGGACATCTACTATGATCTCTCTCAACTGGGAGTGGAGACAGGATAAGAAGCTATTGCAATTATCAAGGAGAAAGGTAGCAATGCAAACAGAAAGAATTCAATGGATAAGAGATAGATCAAATAGGTAGTGAAAGGTACTAGAATATAGCCCCCTCAAAATATGCCTCTTTGGCATATAGACTATTATTTTTTTAAAAGATTTATTTATTTGAGAGAGAGCGTGGGGGTGGGAGGTGGGGAGGCAGAAGGAGGGAGGGAGAGCGAGAGAGAGTCTCAGGTAGACTCCATGCTGGACTCAGGGCCAATCTCACAACCCTGAGATCATGACCTGAGCCAAAATCAAGAGTTGGCTGCTTAACCGACTGAGCCACCCAGGTGCCCCTGGCATATTAGCCACTGGGAACCAGCAGAAGCAGGAAAATATGCAGAGTATTAGTATACTGGCCTAAAAGATTAACCAGGTTTTCTGTTTTTGTAGTTGACATTTTGCAGGGAGTAGTGGGAATACAATTTCATCCATAGCAATTGCACATCTATGTTAATGAGCCATGTCACGGCAACTGACACACAGTATAGGGATAGCTGGGTGTGTGGGGGTCCCCGGACTGCCTACAGCAGCAGTATAAAGCACATGAATGTGAGAGAACAGTGGCAATTTCTTCTCTACAGTATGTAACTGAAATAATTTCTTTATAAAGAAGTAATTTATAGGATAATTATGGAAAATAAAAACAAATAAAAAAATAATTTATAAAGGAAGCTTCCTCTGAACAAAAGAATTTAATCTCTTCTATTTTACTGACAACCATTCCTTTTCATTTAAAATAACTTGAAAATTAAACTAAACGCTAATATAGACTGGTCACCTTGTTAAGTACCACATTAATGCAGTACCATCAAATTTTTTCAATGATCATTAGAGAGTGGTATTATAAAGCACAAAGGAGTTCATTTATACAATACGATTTAAAATGTCTTCATTATTAAAGAGCCCTGACTTTCTGATTTAAAATAAAGGAAGTCCACTAAAATTCCTCTTTTATGCTTTTGTAGGAATTGGGAGCATAATGTTATAAGCAGTGAGAAGCTATATATTTTAGAAATTAGTAAGTTAAGGAATATTAGTAATAATAAAGCTTCCTATAAGCACTAAGTGAAGTGGTTATTATGAATTTTCCACATCTCAGATAATCAATGCAGCCTCATCAAGGACAGATTAGCATATCTTCTTTCTCAGTGAGGGCTCAAGCATCAGCTCAAGAAGCATTCTTAAAGGTGTGGAGGATTCAAGTTGATACCATGACGGAAATTATTAGCATCTTTAGATAAAGTATTTGGCATCCATTAGGAGTTTGTATAAAGATCTCTGCTGTTTTACAAAATTAGTTTTATAGAAAACAACAGAGACAATCACCAATTTCTGAAAAATAGGGCAAGCTTCAGAAAATATAGTATAAACTGTGAGAACTTTGTACCTGAAGAATATAATTAAGTTTAATGAGTATGAAAACAAAGACTTTTTTAAATTATAAGATACAAATAAGTGAGTCTAATGCTTAGTAAATTACCACATAGATAAAATGAGAAATAGGGGTTCTGCTTAACTGAACTTTTGGTTAACCATGAAGTTTTATTATTGACTTTTTTTTTTAAGTTTTCATTTATTTGGAGAGAGAGAGTGAGTGAGAGAGAGTGAGAGTGAGTGAGAGAGAGAGAGAGAGAGCACCAGCAGGGGGAAGGGCAGAGGGAGAAGCAGACTCCCTGCCGAGGGGAGAGTCCAGTGTGGGCTCGATCCCCAGACTCCAGAATCAGGACCTGAGCTGGTTTAACCGACTGAGCCACTCAGGCGTTCCTTAATATTGACTTTTAAAGAATTAAGACACAGTAAGTGAAGGGTGATAGAATATGTTTCCTAAAATATGCCTCTTTGCCTTAAGGATTATTTTGAGCTAAAGTCACTTGAAAAATAGCAAACACAGATAGCTTTCTGTGAATTGCCCTTATCTACCTAAAGACAGATGTTCCAAAAGAAACTCAATCATCATAAATCCCTTCCCTGGGAGTTTCATCAACTAGGTAAGATTAACTTTTTTTTTTTTTTTAAGATTTTATTTATTTTTTTGACAGAGAGAGACAGCTAGAAAGGGAACACAAGCAGGGGGAGTGGGAGAGGGAGAAGCAGGCTCCCAGCTGAGCAGGGAGCCCAATGTGGGGCTCGATGTGGGGCTTGATCCCAGGACCCTGGGATCATGACCTGAGCCGAAGGCAGATACTTAATGACTGAGCCACCCAGGCGCCCCGGTAAGATTGACTCTTATCACAGGAAAGGAGACAAATGGAACAGAATCCAGAGTCCAGGAATAAACCCCAGCATATACAGTCAACTATGAGCTGAATTCATAGAAAGAGAAGAATGGTGATTGCCAGGGGCTGGAGGAAATGGGGAGATGTTGGTCAAAGGATACAAACCTCCAGTTTTAAGATAAGTCCTAGGAATCTAATGTACAACATGGTAATTATAGTTAGCAATACTTACTGTCTTATATACTTATATATTTGAAAGTTGCTGAGAGTAAATCTTAAACATTCTCACCACAAAAAAGAAATGGTAATTATGTGACACATTACACCTCACACCATGGTGATAATCATTTTACAAAATAGATCAAATCAATACACTGTACACCTTAAACTTATGTCTATTATAGTAAGAGAAAACAGAGAACCAAAACATTTTACCATAAAACAATCCATGGTCTCATCAAAGCTTGTGAGCCTGCTAATTATTCAACTGTCAGATGCAAAGGATAACTTAGAAGCGTGTCAATAATAAGGCTATCCCTGTGTCAACAATACACTTTTGATAATAGCTTTAAAATTCTGTGCAGGAGAAATATTGATATATTTACTACTTAGCAGTCTCCACAAGAACTAGTTTCCATGTTATTTGTAATGTGAATTGGAAAATCTGAGCTGTTAACATTTCTTTTAAGCCTCCATCAATTTCCAGAACCTTCTTTCCTACTAAGACTAATATCATTCAAAGACATAGGAATTCTAAAGATAAAAGAGATGGGAGTGGTACATGGATGACACTCTCTTTTTTATTGGGTTTCTAGCCTTCCTTTCATCAACTAAAAACTGCAGAGACAAGGTGTCAACCCACAGCTAGATCAAGTAGAAAGGAAAGGTGGTTTTTGGCAGTGCATTCATTTTAATAATATTCTTTTAAACAATATTTTAGCTTTTATATTTTTACATTTTTAATAATCTTTTTTAAGATTTATTTATTTATTTATTTTAGAGAAAGAAAGAGAGAGAGAGAGAGAGAGGGAAGGGGCAGATGGGGACAGAGAGGGACAAGAAGACTCCACACTGAGTATGCAGTACAACACTGGTCTCAATCTTACAACCCTGAGACCATGACCTGAGCTAATACCAAGAGTCGGGCATTCAACCAACTGAACCACCCAGGTGCCCCTTTAATAATCTTTTTAATTTTTTTTTTGTATTTTTATATTTTAAGTAATAGTCTTTTTTAAAAAATAGCCTCTTAAATTCACTTAAAAAGATTTTTACCAATATAATTACAGTTCTGCATTTGCTAGCAGAGAGGATGAAAAAAATAGTCATTTTTTATCAAAAGATACATTCTTACAAAATGGATCACATATTGGTTTAACTCTCCATTAAAAACAATTTTTTAAGGGGCACCTGAGCGGCTCAATTGTTAAGCATCTGCCTTCAGCTCAGGTCATGATCCCAGGATCCTGGGATCGAGCCCCGCATCTGGCTTCCCCACTCAGCGGGAAGCCTGTTCTCCCTCTCCCACTCCCCCTGCTTGTGTTCCCTCTCTCGCTGTGTCTCTCTCTGTCAAAATAAATAAAATCTTAAAAAAAAAAAAAATTTTTTTAAACGTATCAGTAGTTTTTGTACTACTGATACTTTGTACTACTGTACTTTGCCATTTTTTCCCTTCCCATTTTATCTTTTAGGTGCTAGAATGAATGGATTCCATATTATTCACCATTAAAGATCCTTATTGCTGGCCTCAACCATCAGGGTGCATTTGCAAATTTAATAACTAGATCATCACAAAAAGGTAATGGAGACAAATGGGTTAGTGGCTTGAGTTTAATAATTTCATTAAAAATTCTGAGAAAACTGTTTTTCTTTGTATTTAAATAAAAAGGCAAATAATCCAGAAAATTTTTTGAAAATCTGTATTGTGATTTTCATGTATATACTGTAGAGGAAAAATAATTTTCCCTCTATCTTTCTAAGTTCTCAGCTGGGGCTCCTATAACAAAAAAGAGATAACAGGAGAAAGACAAACAATAGTTTAACTTGTATCTCTCATATATACATGGCAGACACACAGGAAAAATGAGTAACTCAAAGAGATGGCTAAGAATTCAGGCTTAAATACCACCTTCAGCTAAAAACAAAGAAAGAAGAGTATGAGGGAGGCTGGTTATGAAGAAGTGACCAGGAGAAGCATTGTAAATGAATTTGTTATGTAGATGTATGTCCCTGCTTTTTCCATTTTTAAGATTCACCTGTGATTTAGAGTCATCCGTTTCTTGGTACAGAGAAGGAAATACTCTTACAAATGGAGATTTCCTTTATAAATACAAATTTTCCTTATAAAATGGTTACTTCTACTCTGTGTTCAGAGCTTCTCCTGTGCCTGCTGTTTATCAAAATAATCAGCTCAAAATTATCCTCATACCAAAGAGGCATATTTTAGGGTAGCATATTCTGGTCTCCTACAGTCAATTTTAGAATAGTATTTACTAGTTTCCTACAGTACAAAATTACAACATCCAAGCAAACTTCTGACCAGGCACAATTCCTTTAAAATTGTAACATGACTGTTGTCTTCCATTTATTGAAGGAGTAAACATCCCTGTATTCTTCTACATATTTCTAAAGGTCAATGATTTAAAAGAACAATGAATGAATAGGTAGGAAATAGATTTTCTTTTTAAGTGCACAAGTAAGTGGAAACCTTTATTATCATTCATTAAGAAAATAAAAGAGTGGGGGCGCCTGGGTGGCTCCGTTGGTTAAGCATCCAGGTCTTGGTTTCTGCTCAGATTGTAATCTCATGGTCCTGAGATCAAGCCCCGAGTCTGGCTCTGTACTCAGCACGGAGAGAATTAAGATTCTCTCTCCCTCTCCCTTTGCCCCTGCCCACCTCAAATAAATAAATAAATCTTAAAAAAAAAAAAAAAGAGAGAGATTGAGAGTAAAGATCCCATGAAATTAGTGTTTAATAGATCTGGTTGCTTGTGGTAAAAAAAAAAAGAAAAAAAAAGCTACAGATGGTGACTGTAGCTACTGTGGTGAGCACTGAGTATTGTATAGAATTGTCAAATCACTAAGTTGCACTATGCTCACTGCTAATGCTCACTGCTGAGCATTTACATTTTCCTAGAAAATGTGCAACTCTATTAAAAATTTTTTTTCACATTATCTAGTTTTAATTTTATGTAGTATTAATTGTTCTTTAGAAAAAGAGAATATTTTACATTTATATTTTTAGTAAAAGATTAAGCTTTCCATAATATCAAGCATGTATATAGCATAAATACACCCTGCTTCTTTCACCTGACCACATGTCAGGTGACCAAATTAATTTTAATTAGGAAGTAAGTATTTCATTTGTTCTTCAAAAGAAGTTCAATCAAGGAATATTTTCAAGATAGGATGGCTCACAGAAAAGCAAAGTTATCCTAAGAATTTATTCTAAAGAGTTTTATAACTACCATATTAAGTAAATATGCAGCAAAATGTTTTCTTTCTTTTTTTAACTAACTGAAAAAAAAGCTACTTTGAATTAGTGAAGTCTTTGTCACAAAACATCTTTTAAAGAAAAGATGCTTTGGGGCGCCTGGGTGGCTCAGTCGTTAAGCGTCTGCCTTCAGCTCGGGTCATGGTCCTGGGGTCCTGGGATCAAGCCCCGCTTCGGGCTCCCTGCTCAGCAGGGAGTCTGCTTCTCCCTCTCCCTCTGCTGCTCCCCCTGCTTGTGCTCTTTTTCTCTCTATCACTCTCTCTGTGTCAAATAAATAAATAAAATCTTTAATTAAAAAAAAGATGCTTTACCTCTCAAGTATAAAAAATTAAGTCACACCAGTCAAAAGAAGTGAACCCCAATATATATCCCATTTATTCTAATTAATTTTAAATTAATTATAATTAATATATTTTTCCTATATCAATGGATTTAAGGGCTTAAGAATACTTAAAAATAGCTCTCCTATATAGGGTAAGCAAACTGTTCAGTCATATTTATACTAGAAACTTCTACACCAGAAAAGTAAAGCTTTTGCTCTTAAAAAAAAAAAGTAACTGTCAGCCAAGCCTCTGTTCAAATTACCAATCTGAATAGAGACAAAATTAAGAGTCAATATTCAATATACCATGATCTACTACAAGGAAAAGAAACTTAGCAGGGGTCTTTTTACCATTTAGTTTTTCTCATATGAACTAAACAAAAAGACAAATCCTTAGAAAAGTTAAATTCATTAATGACTGACAGGTACACAGATTTTTTAATCCTGCGGATTTCTCCTGCCCATGCCCTACTTTATGTTTTCTTTGCTTCTTGCCTAAACTATTTTGTAATAACTTCCTCACTGGTCTCTCTCTTCCTCTTCCAATGGGATTCCATAAAAAGAAAAATTAAAAGGTCCTTGTGGTAAAAAAAAAAAAAGAAAAAAAAAGCTACAGATGGTGACTGTAGCTACTGTGGTGAGCACTGAGTATTGTATAGAATTGTCAAATCACTAAGTTGCACCCCTAAAACTAATATAACACTGTAGGTCAACTATACTTCAATAATTTTTTAATGAAATACATAAAAAAATAAAAAGCTTGGAAAGTGCTAAGTTAAATGTTAAAAAAGATTTTTTTAACCTGTAGTACTTCTTACTGCCTTTAATATTCCATGTGTATTGTAAATGTCCAAAATACTGTAATATACAACCATTTCTTAATAAAATGCTTATGATAAACTACTGTATCAGTCAAGGTCCTATTTTCCTTTTCCAATTTTACCTCCCACTGTGCTTCCAGACCCTGGAACACCTACTACTCTTTTACACCTCTGTGTCTCTGTCCATGATGACTAGTTCTCTGCAGTGTCCTTCCTCTCATCTCTACTTACTGAAATCACGCCTAGCCATAAAGGTATAGGATCAAAAGCTACCTCCACCAGGAAGTCATTTCAAATTCTCCCCAACTTATTTTCTACTTCCCCCAACAATTCTATAACTTTATTAAAGCATTTATTTGTCTGCCTTAGATTATCCTATAAACATAGCTTTCTCCCTCACTAAATTATAAGGCACGGAAAGTAAGAACTGCCTAGTACACAGCTGGTATTCAAAACACAAACTGAAATAGTTTTAATTTTTCCAAAGAGTGCCTGAAAATAGATCTCATTGTGTTATACAAATACATATAAACTTGCGAAACTGGTAGAACAGATGTTACCATCTCCCCTTACCACCATTTGACAGATTATAAACATAATTATTATTATATTAAACAGTTAACATTTCTTCAACATTATGTGCCAGCTACTCAGCTAAGTTCTTTACACAATTTTTTTCATTTAATCCTAAAAACAATTTTATAAGATAGGTTCCATTATTATCCCCAATTCTTCCCCAAATCAGATGAGGAGACTGAAGGTCCAAGAGGTGAAGTTACAAGCCCAAGGTCTGACTGCAAGTGAGTCAGGGTTAGGAAGTGCCAGAGCTCAGAATCAAGGCCAGATCTGTCTGACTGCAAAATTCATCCTGTCAACTGCGACACTTTTCTGCCTTTCAATTTTTGCCCAAGTAATTCCCACTAATAAACCACGATGCTAATCGTAGTTCTTTAAACTTAGTAATAAAAAGTATTATCTAGCTTCAAAGATCTTAAAATCACAACTGCAACATGAAAATGAAAGAATTACTTACTTGCACAATTTGCCTTCTGCCATGTGGAATTAAAAAACTCAGACAGAATCACAACTATCTGCATTCTATCTGCCATTAAGAGACTTTTGGCACAACTATGACTCTCTGATGTATTCTGTAACAAAAAGATAGAAAAATACAATCTGAGTATTTTTAGACTTCCTGAACAAAAGCTTTAGGAAAAAAAAACCCTTATAAAAATAACTAAAATATTTATTAAAAGCATTTAACATTTTGACTGATATAATCAAATAATAATGTCATTAATAACAACTGTAATAAAACAAAAGCAGCTAAATATTTATTGATACCAGGTTCATTGGCAAGGGAAGAAAATCTTTGCTTCTTAAATAAATACTTGCTTCTATAGAACAATCTCAACCACTTAGGCCCAAACCGCGTGCATCATATTTCTTACTTTTTATACATAGGAAAAAATTCTGGAAAGCTTTCATCAAAATGTAGCACTGGTTATCTCTGAATAACAGAAATATGGTGATTTTCATTTTCATTTTTGCCTCTTTCACACTGTCTAAATTTTTCTACAATGAACATATACTATTTACATAATTTCTTTAATCTGGTGAGTAAATGATTACAAAATATTTAAGTTTCATCTTCTGGGAAATTTTTAGTTCAAAACCTTATAAATCACAAAAAAAATGGGACACACAAATTTGTACCCAAATAGTTTATACCCACATAGAATATGCTGTCCACAGATCATTTTAATAATGAAATGCACACTATGCAAAAAAGTAAATCCAAGTTCCTAAATTATTTTATCCTTATCGATTTCTTTTCCCTTTTGCCCCAAGCAAGGAATTAAGTCGTGTGACCCTTCATTCTTTCAAAGTTATTTAACTCCTACTACTTACTTACCAGGCACTCTAAGAATCCTGGAGTTTTGAGGATACAGAAAATATAATGCCATAAACACTGGAACTTCAAGAACCTCCCCAGAGGCTAACTACCAAGTCTTGTCAACTCTACCTCCTACATATCTCTGAAATCTATCCATTTCCCTCCATCACAATGGTCCCCATGTAGCCTAGCCACCATTTCTTACAACACTGCAATAGTCTCTTAATTCATCTTGCACACGTATTCTTCCCCTACCCTCCCCATCCCCTGTTTCCCTCCACTTTCTCTCACGTAACCAGAATGATTGTTTAAAGTACAAATCTGATCACATCATTCTACAGAATTAAACCTGTCAATAACATCTCACTGCTTCAACATGAAAGTCTAAAACCCTTAACATACCTAATAAGGCCCACATGACCGGGTACCTGCCTACTTCTTCAGGCTCAGATCACTAGTCTACTCCTGGCTCATAGTACTTTGAGTTCCTTCTAGTGCTCAAACACACCAGACTCAGAGTCTTCACACCTGCTACTTTTTACATATATACCTTCTCACCTCTGCCCCACACCCGCTCAGATTTTAAATATCAGCTTTAACCACTGACCACTCAACCTACCACCAGCCCTAGTCAAGATCAGCTCCCTTATATGCTTTGGTAGCATCTGGGGTTTTTTACTGTGCAACACTTATCACACCTGAATTAAATAATTACTTGTATTATTATATGCTTAATATCTGTTTTCCCTACCAGACGACAAGCTCTGCTTATTCACAGCTATATCCCTAGTAACTACTACTAGCCTGCACATACTAGGTACTCAATAATTTTCTTGAATGAATGCATAAGAAGCATTATTTTCTGATCACTAATGAAAGACAGATTATTATGTTATTCTGTATTCTGAGTTTCTCCCTATATTCCTAAGACTTTATTTATCAGTCTATAGTTAATAAGTATGTTGAACAGTTCCAGGTACACACCTCTAATCACTAGCACCTACATAAATATATATACATATCTTTGTATATCTATACCTATTTATATAAATTTTAAACAAACCAAGTAGAATGAGATAGAGCTAAGCAATTCAGAGTTTGGGAGTCAAAGCATCCTGGCAACTTCTCTGTGGATGCTGAACAGCTCAGTGAAACCACTATCGGTTTATATTAAAAGAAGAAAGTATGACTCAAAGGAAGAAGAAATCAGTCAGTTGTACCATTCAAGTTTCACAAATCACTGTATTCTTTACCTTCAGGTAATAAAACTATATGTGGTCCTTGTCTCAGTAATTCCAAGAGGAAGTGACAAGAAAATACAATTCTCATCAGACAATTCTGTTAAATTAAATGAATTAGCTTGCTGTACCAGAGAAATAGTTTGCAAATTTCTACCTTTGATTCTTTTTCTCCTTGTTACACTTCCCTCCTCTCTCAATCAATCCATGGACATGGATTCACCCCGAAGAGATGATAAAGGATATCTTATTCAAAATTCAGCTTATAGGTTTTCTTTGATTAACCCCACCTTGCTCTGTCCCCTTCTTTTTTTTTTTTTTTTTTTTTTAAGATTTTATTTATTTATTCATGAGAGACAGAGAGAGAGAGAGGCAGAGGGAGAAGCAGGCTCCCGCGGAGCAGGGAGCCCGATGCGGGACTCGATCCCAGGACCCTGGGATCATGACCTGAGCCGAAGGCAGACGCTTAACCATCTGAGCCACCCAGGCACCCGCTCTGTCCCCTTCTTTAATTCAACATCTCCCTTAACCCTTTTGCTGTAAATTGCTATTGTACAAAATATAACATTCACATTGATGATTTTTTCCTTTTTTCTTTTTCTCTTTCTCAAAATAGGTTTATTTCCCCAACTATGCTGATAGTTTGAACGCTGGGCCTTATCCTCCTTTTCCTTCTGTATCGTTTTACCAGCCCAATATTTAAGAATAGCATGTGCTTGCTGATTAAACTGACTTAAAGGAAAGATTGAGCCTATGTGAGTCAAATACATTACTCCCTATAAATAACCCCCCCCACACACACACACAAAGAACAACGGATTCCAAGTTCACTTCTAAGAAACTCAGAAGTTTTTTTCCCATAAGTTCATTATTACACACGATGATTCAATTCCCAAACCAATCCAAGAAAGCCTATTAAATCCATGAAGTACCTCAGAACCATAGAAATTATGATTTTGAGCAACAAAGCACATCCACCTCTACTGAGGAAAGGAAAGGAAAGAGATCAAGGTCTAGGATAAATTGGAGAGGAAATCCAGATTGAGTAAAGGGTTTTTCTGCCTTTTTTTTTTTTAAACTCTTTACTCTCTTCCTTTCACACAAAGGTGAAGTGAGCCTGGTGCCCAGATCACTGGTAGAATATTACGGGCACAAATAAGAGGAAGGAAGTTTCTGCCCCACCCCCACCCCCCACCAAGCCTCTCTTGGGCAATGAGGAATTCATGTGGAAATTCAAGCACAGATTGGGTGATGACCATAATACTGTACCACTAGAGTTTGGGGGTTATTTTTTAACCGCTTAATTCCACAGTATCTATACAAATGAGGAAAGCATATGCTCCCTCAAAAGATCCAAACTTTGCATCATGATTCATTATCTTGGCCATAAAACAACTCACCTAATTGCTCAAAATAGAATATGATGTCATATTATACCTTCCTATAGTGACAGGGACAAGTCTTGGGTACTTTATTTTTAAATCATAGAAAGATAGATGGATAGGGATATACATCTACCGTGCTATACCTAATAGAAGTATGCCTGAAAAATATTGCAGGTAAGCTAAATTTATTTAAACCATGTTAAAATCAAATACAAATGGAGACCAGACTTAAACATTCCCTGATCAGACAAAACCAGTTTAGTCATACAAACAAAAGCTTAATTTAGCTTACTTTGCAAGACAAGTGAGGCTAACATGACCTGTGCCCCTTCTTGCTTATCTCTTTGAAAATCATAAACCAGACTTATACTGTTCCCCAAAATTGATATGAGGTAATTACTAACCAATTCTCTTTAAGGAAATTCTTATGAAAAGTAAAAAGAAAATTCCTATATTGAAACCAAACCTGTGAAGAATTAGTGCAGTCACTCTTGCATACTATGTACATTGCTTTATAACAACGCATCTCTGAGCCTCATTCCACCTTTTGGTTTGAGTGCTCCCAGTTTGCAAACTGTCTTTTTGGTGTGTGCACAATGAACTTTTACTAATTGCTACTTCAGTGATTCATTGGTTTTACTTGTTTTTTCCAAACTTGAAAACTAGCTCTTTACCGAAAGATTGCCCACATAATTTATTTAATGCAAATAAATTTCCTATTTATGTAAAAAAAAGATTTGTTAAGTAATATCAGGTTGACTTAAAGCAGGATGCAACTCTATATAAGTTCGTATTTTGTCAGATCAACTATGATTTATGAAATAATTCCAATCACATTTTCGTGAGACTACTTGTCCTCTCAATACAAGAGGAACTTTCCCTCTCCACAATCCCAATGTCATTCTTCATGTTTTTCCTTTAAAAGGCATATCCAGCCCACACCTCATGACTCCTACCAGCCCTGACACTCTTATCCTTTACTGCTCTGACCCTTTAAGTTTCTTATTAGCAGGAACATGTATTCTCTCCCTTTCTCTTTTTTATTAAACCCCTCACAGGACCTACCACATGACCAGAAAAGTGCTAAGAGTACCAAAAATGGAGGGCAGATATACCACTTCCTAAAATTTTAGCTCCCATTTACTGAGAACTACTACTACATGCTAGTTTTCTAAGAGCTCCTTTTATCTTATCGATAAGAAAACAGGCATAGAGATGTTAAGTAACTTGCCCAGAATATGCCAGCTAATAGGAACTGGACTCCTGGCAGACCAGCCAAAGACTGTCTTAATCACTAAAATAAGCTCTCACATGTTATCTCTTTTAATCTTTGTAACAGTCACATCAGGCAGCTGTTTCTCTTCATTTTGCAGAGGAGTAAACTAAGACTGTAAGATAATTAATCCAAGCCCAAGCTGCTATAAAGTGGTGGATCTGATATTATCTGGCTACAAAGCTCAAGCCTCCTAAGCACTACCACACTATTGTTTCCCCCCTCTACTTGGAGTTTCAGGAAAGGGTCCTTCCTGGGAACACCAGATAGAGATGGGAAGAAGCTGTGTCAGAGTGGGGTGAAGACAGTAAAGGAGGGAAACGAAAGATAGGGTTAAGGGCACAGGACCCCCAAGAAAAACAGCCATACCTATCTGCAAACATGTATCAAGAGATGCCAAACAGCAGCCATGGAGGCAAAACTCCAAACTCCAAGACTTATAAAGCCACCCACTCTTCTGATGCCCCAACTGCACAGTCCCAGTCCAATCCCTTTTCCTTACAAATAGGGAAACTGAGGCCCCCAGAGTAAACCATCATTACATCCTCCTTTCCCAACCCTCCACGCTGGAGGTCCCAGGTGTGCTCCTCTACCCACCCCCACTGCTCGACTGATGTTGTCCATCTTGTTGGCGACCTGTTGGAAGAGGGGGTAGCAGGTCTGACAGAGGCGCACCGGCCGGGCGCTGCGCACTAGACACCCGGTCAGCTCTGCGCTGCTGTTGGCGAAGTCCAGTAACAGCTCCCGACACTCGGGATCCAGATCCGGCAGGTCCGGGGGTAGTGACAGCGGCCCCAGTCTTCCGCCCTGCAGCAGGGTCAGGGACAAGTCCTCCACCTCCAGCAACTGCTGCTCCGACAGGAGGTCGTGAAGGACCCTGTGGGGGCTGCTGACCAAGGCGAGAGCGCCCAGAGCCAGCCCCGACCACAGCAGCAGCCGCGGCAGAAGCAACGACCTCCGCCATGCGACTGTCGCGTCCGGACCCATTGCGGGGTTCACAAACCCCAAGGCACTCACTGCCGCCTCTCCACCCCCAGCCGGTGCCGGTGACCGCCGCCGCTTCCGGCTTCCTCGGCGCAGGCCGCGAGCGGGGTCACGAGGCGCGCGCGTCATGGCCCCGCCTTCGGCGCGCGGCGCCCCGCCCCATTGGCTGCCGAGAGCTTCTCGCGGCCCTCGGGCCGGCGCGCGTGCGGAAGCGCGCACACACAGGCCGGTTCGCGCTCCCAGCCGGCTACAAGCACCTGACTGAAAGGATGCGAGCCCGAGAGCAGCGTCAGGCTGTGGACCATCGAGCCGAGGCTCGCCCACTCTGTAACTACAGGCGTCCACCACGTCGGACAATTGAATCTCGGGGATCTGGGCCCTCGGTCGCCCACCGCTTTGGGAGTTCCCAGCGTTCCAGAAGTCTGAGGAATTACTTCCCACCGCAGGAAGCCGGACGGTCTCCGCCGTGGGAATTACGAGTGAGTTCCTTGAGAAAGCCTGCTGGCAGGTGCCTTTGCAAGTTTTTGCTTGGTGGTTTCTTAGCATAATTTCCTCCTTCATCCTATTTGGAAAGAGTAATAACATCTGTTGATTATTTTGGGTGGTGGAGCCTAGTGGCTTCCGAGCTTTTTTTTTCTTTTAACTTGAAACTGTCAACGTCAGCGTTGTCCAATAGTCCTTGTACGATAATGGAAGAATTCTAGATCTGCATTTTCTAATACGGTAGCCACTAGCCACTTGTGGCTGTTGAGCGGTGGTAACGTAGCTACTGCGACCGAGGAACTTAATTTTTAATTGTACTTAATTTAACTGCAGATAGCCCCATCGGGCTCGTGGTGCTGTGTTGGACAGCGCAGGTTCCCTCACTGTGTAGCCTGGTCCTCGGGTGGCTAATATCCAGGTTTGTTTGGGACTGAAGGGGTTCTCGAGGTGCAGCACAAACCTGCATCCCGTGCAAACCCCTGGAAAGTCCTGGGCAAACTGCATAACTGCAGACTCCCAATTTCTGACATGCCCAAGGCAATGGCAGGGGACACTCTCTAACAAGTGCCGGATGCCATTGCTGGGCTGTAGGATGTAAGCTAATGACCTGGAAAACGGTTTTCTAACAAGTATCTGACGAACAAGTTCGGTAGAAAAAATATTTCCCGGCTGTTTTATGGGTTCCTGCTTTCATTTTTGCCTTGTAAATTGCAGACCTACTGTACTAACTCCCATTCAGCTTATGGTACTAATTTATGTTTCTGAGGGTTCTTAAAGTTACTTGTTACCCAATCTGTTTGGTCATTGTTTTGTATTCCTAAATTTGCTTGGGATGGCTAAATTTTGTTTCATTTTCTTTACCAGGAAAATGAACTAGTAGGAAACTTGACTTATATAACAAATGTATTTCCAGAGAAGAAAAAATAAGTTGTCTTAATTTTTCTCAAATGTTATCCTGTAACTTTTAGGTCTTCCTATGCATTAGAATTACCATTCTTAAGAGTTATTTCAGGCATCATCATGAGTAAATAGTTCAAACTCTATGAAAAGTAATGTGGCACAGTCAATAACATTACAAATGCCCATACTCTGACCCAGCAAGTCCACTTCTAGGAATTTACTTTAAGCATATACTAACCTTGTATAGACATGATTATTAATTGCAGTATTGTTTGTAAGAATAAAAGAATGGGTGAAAAGAGAATGTCAAAGAAATCATGGGCCCTTTCCCCTCTCCCTTCTCTTCGAGAACACTGGAGGATGGGGGGAAAGCATGATGCAGAGTATTGGATCGTGGGTAGGGTAAAAAGAGTTTCTATGCAGAGGAGGGGGCAACACTGAGTGGGAGTTTGCTTACATTCAGAAGGATTGATCAAATAAGAAACTATATTAAGGATGATGGGAGTCCAGTTTCTTCCTGTCAGAGAAGGGAGTTACAAATATGAAAACAGAAAAGTCGGGGTGCCTGGGTGGCTCAGTTAAGCGTCTGACTCTTGATTTCAGCTCAGGTCATGATCTCAAGGTTATGAGATTGAGCCCCACCTCAGGCTCCTCGCTGGGCATGCAACCTGCTTACAATTCTCTCTCTCTCTTTCCGCCCCCTCTCTGCACCCCCCCAAAAAAGAAAAAAATGGAGAAAAGTAGAATGAACTCTGTAGTGTTGGTTTAGAATTAGCAATATCAGTGACTGGAATACATATAAATATAGAAATAAATATAGATGTAAATGTATATGTATGTATATTTATATATTTATGCATGCATGCACTCTGTGTGTTTGTGTTTTCCTTGGCTTTGTCCACTGGAAAGCCTAGTAGCAGAGGCACCCCATTAATAATAATGAGTATATATAGGGCCCAGATGGTGGCTTCTAGATATTATTCTCCACTAAAGGGAACCAAGAATCCTTGGAGAAGTAACTGATTCCACCACTAGGGCAGGAAAAGCACAAGTTTAGCCTGGATCATCTTGTTGTACCAGAAAGTAAGAAAGTACTCAAAGAATGAATGGGGACAGGGGCACCTGGGTGGGTCAGTCGTTAAGCGTCTGCCTTCGGCTCAGGTCATGATCCCAGAGTCCTGGGATCGAGCCCCACATCGGGCTCCCTCCTCAGCGGGAAGCCTGCTTCTCTCTCTCCCACTCCCCCTGCATGTGTTCCCTCTCTTGCTATGTCTCTCTCTGTCAAATAAATAAATAAGTAAAATCTTTAAAAAAAAAAAAAGAATTAATGGGGACATGTCAACAACGTACAGAAGCCAGCTTGAATAGGCTCCCACTGGCCAAATCTGAGACAATCTGAGCATCAAAATAATGTTGGTTAACATGTCATAATCCATTGACTAAAACAGGAAATCACGAGCCTATGTTGATATATTGGAATAAATGAATAAATTGAATGTTTCATGAGAAATAAGATATTTACATATTTTTAAAGTCACCCCCCCAAAATACTTACTAATTACAAATGGAAAAAATGAGTAAATTTACAGTAGAGAAATCTAACATTAATCAAATGGTCAATATGAATATCATCAGAATGGGATAAATAGAAATTGTATGCCACCTGATAAAACTCAGTTAGAAGATCACAGCATCACTTCCATTCTATTCCTGCCAAAGATGCATAACATGATGCTAATATGAGAAAGCATCAGACAAAGGAAATTAAGGTTCATTCTAAAAAAATAGCTAGCCTGGGGTACCTAGGTGGCTCAGTCCATTGAGCATCTGCCTTCAGCTCTGGTCATGGTCCCGGGGTCCTGAGATCAAGCCCTGCAGTGGTCTCTCTGCTCAGTGGGAGCCTGCTTCTCCCTCTCCCTGCCGCTCCCCCTGCTTGTACTCTCTACCAAATAAGTAAATACAATTAAAAAAAAAAAAACTTTAAAAAATAGCTAGCCTATAATCTTCAAAGTGTTGTAGCTATAAGAGTCAGGTCAGGGAAAGATTAAGGAACCGCATCTGACATGAAGGACATTATTGGGATAACTAGTGAAATTTGAATAGGGTCTGAGAATTAGATGGTAGTAATGTATAATGTTAATTTCCTGATTTTATAGTTATATTGTGGTCAATGTAAGTGAATATTTTATTTGTAGAAAATATATAGAAAAGCATTCAAGGGTAATAGGCTATCAAGTTAACAACTTACTTTCACATGGTTCTGTAAAAAGATTGTACTATGCTTACAACTTTTTTATAAGCTTGAAATTTTTTCAAACTCTAAAAAAATATATTGTAAAAACAATTAAGGTACAGCAATGCAGTAGAATTCTATGCATTTGAAATCTTATGTACTGATGTGGAACAATTGCCAAAATAAATGAAAAAAAGTATCAGAAGAAAAGAATTTTGGGGGCACTTGGGTGGCTCAGTTGGTTAAGCAGCTGCCTTTGGCTCAGGTCATGATCCCAGGGTCCTGGGATGGAGCCCCACATCGGGCTTCCTGCTCAGTGGGAAGTCTGCTTCTCCCTCTTCCTCTGCCTACCCCCCTGCTTGTGAACTCTTTCTCTCTTCCCTCTGTCAAATAAATAAATAAAATCTTTAAAAAAAAGAAAAGAATTTTTAATGCTCATGCATGCATGTGCACAGACTGTCTCCAGAAGGTTACACAAAAACTGGTCACTTTGGTAAAAGAGGAATTGAGGTGAGGAGTGTGGGAACAGGGCTAGGAGAGAGACTGTTCATTGTAAACTTCAGTACTTACAAATTTTGTTCCATAGGAGTATACTTCTTACTAAAATAAATTAATAAAAATTAAAAGAGTTCAATTTGTCAGCCATCAGTGGGCTCAGGGCATTTATGAATGCCACAAAACTTGTTTGCAGAATTTTCTATGTATGTATATTTTTCTGAGAAGAAAGTCATAGCTGTCATCATACTTTTTTATAGGGGTCTATAATCCAAAAGGTTAACAACCAATGATTTAAAATAAACCTCAATAAATTCTCTTCCTTCAAGTATGAGTTACATTAAATTTGCTTTTTATCTCAGCTATCTTAGAATATGTGACACAAACAACAAAGCAAAACCAAAAGCAGTAATTCATTGTGGTAGGTACTACAATAAACAAAGATAACTAGACACAATTGTGCTTTCAAAGAATAAGTCATAAAGTCAAATGTGTACAATAAAATTAAATATTAAAGGAGATAATGCGTGTTTTAGAAACATTAAAGATGGAACCAATTGCATCTAGGAGTTTGGAGAAGAGTCAGAAATGTCTCCAAAGAGGAAGTGATTTTTGAGTAGTATCTTCTAGAATGAGTAGGAATTCACCATGTAGCAGCTTCAGAATGTCTCTGTAGGGAGGAGTGAATGGCAGCAGTCTAAATAGAAGCAAGGATTAGAGAATCTGTCTTAAAGCTGCATTGGTATGGCAAACACATTGTTTTGTGTAGGTTTTTTTAATGTATTTTAGAGAGAGGGAGAGCGGGGGTGGGGGCAGAAGGAGAGGGAGAGAGAATGTCAAGCAGACTCCCCACTGAGGCTGAGCGCAGAGCCCTGCAGCTGGATTTTAGGACCGAGCTGAAACCTAGAGTCAGCCACTCAACCAACTGAGCCACCCAGGAGCCCCACACTATTTTGTTTTCTTAGGGTTACTGTTGGAAATTATGGGGATGGTGATGAAGCCAATCTGCCTACTTACTTTCGGTGCTAAAAAA